GCCTTTTCACTGTATTCTAAACCAGGAAGTAGAAAACATAGTGCGGATATTCAGACACACATTTTCAACTCTTTCGACTGTACAAAGGATATTTGGTACTAATAAAATGTTAATTTTTCTTTATTTTTTAAGGCAAATTATATAATATATGTCAGAAAATAAAAAAAAGAATATTTATTAATTAACATTTGTTCACCACTTAAAACTTTTTAAACACTAACTCTATAACGTTAATATTAATAGGCCTATTTGTAGTGTAATTTAAGCATTAGGCCTAATACATAAACGTAACGTAAGGCTTAGCTGAAACACTATTTGGTAAATTTTATTTGGCTTTTGGCTACAACTCAATGTCATAAAACTTCTGAATTAAACGTTTTTGATGTTATATCACCGAAGTTAAAAAAAAGGATAAAAAAAACAAACCTTTCTAATAAATCAACATGAATATTGAGCATTCAACATAAACACCATAGTTGGCCTAAGAACAATCAGGTGTTGGTTTTGTTGCTAAGCGACGATGTATATTGTTGATCATTACCCCCCCCAAAAAAAGGAGTGAGAAACCGTTCTCGACAGAGTTACAAAGGGAATGAGTCTTTTATAGTTAATGATTATTTAAGAAACCGTTCTCGACAGAGTTACAAAGAGAATGAGTCTTTTATAGTTAATGATTATTTAAAATAACCTGCCAATGAAAAGATTACACTACGACATTATTATTATAGCTCGAAACGACCAAAAGAATAATCAACGTTACCTCAAAGTTAAAATGTTTACTAACCCACATTTGTATTTTTTCAGTTTATCCGTTTCATTATAGTTTTACTGCACATTTAATTTAAGTTCTGAGTCCACTAAACTATTAAAAGTTGGATTTCGTTCAACAAAGCTGGTAAAAAGTTAGAAAACTAAAATCTTAATTAGAAATATGTTTTACAGTTTTTCCCTCATCTCTATATAGATTACTAAAAATAATATAGAAATGAAGCTTGAGAAGGGTCAAGGGTGACGTAATTTAGGGCGAATCTTCGTTGGATCTAAAATAGCTTTTACAAAGTTGGAAACAAATGAAAATTTCAACCTTTATTGCGCATGTGTGCTAAACGACCAGGTCAGAGATCCCTATGACCAGAGGAAAGACAGACGGTCAGCAACTCCCGTCGCCTCGTGGGCTTTATACTTTGAACTGAATATTGGTATTTACTGTTACATTTATAATACGCCAACATCTGAAAGTGCGAAGTACGTTTAGCACGGAGGGAACCAGCTCTCGAACCACGGACTCCTGGACTCGCATACTGAAACGCCAACCACCAGGCCACTCCAGACCCCCCTTTTCAATATGAAGTAACGATATATGAAAGGAATGGAATCAACAATGGCGGCCAAACTAGTAGCTACACTTATAGCATTGACAAGAATTTTACAGATAATATTCATTCGTTAATTAACTAGGCGCATGGACAGGTGGTTAGGGCACTCGACTCGCAATCTGCGGGTTCGAATCCCCGTCACACAAAACATGCTCGCCCTTCCAGCCGTGGGGGGTGTTATAATGTGACGGTCAATCCCACTATTCGTTGGTAAAAGAGTAGCCTAAGAGTTGGCGGTGGGTGGTGATGACTCTAGTCTTACACTGCTAAATTAGGGACGGCCAGCGCAGATAGCCCTCGTGTAGCTTTGCGCGAAATTCAATAAACAGTTATCTAGGCTGCGTATTTCGTTTTAGCCACCATCATGCTCCAAGTTGAACAAAAAACACGGCCTAGTTAACTAGCTGTAAAATTCATATTATAAGTGCAACTACAAGCTTGGCCGCCAATTTTGATATCATTCCTTTAAGACGCATGCTCAATCATTTTTTGGCCACACCGTTTTTTCACAAGTAAAATGTTTTTGATGAGATAATCTCTAAAAGTAACGTCGTAGTGTAATCCTTTGTGTAGAGTTAATTCAGAATAGAGAGTTCAGTGTGTAAAGTATTTATATCTATGCTTGCTACGACGCATATTGTACAAGTAAGTTGTTTTTTACGTAGTGTAGTAAAGGTAACGTCATTTGTAACTTAGGCCTACAACAAGACAGTCTTCAACTTCAAGCTTGTAGAAACGTTAACTTAAAGGTTTGTTTTTTTAGGAGCAAAGCCTACTGCGGGGAATCGAATCCCGACTTTTAGCATTGCAAGTCCACAGATAACCGCTGTTCTACCGGGGGGACAGTTAAAGTATAAAATAAACTAATATACTGGACATATAATTTCAAAAAAAAAACCCCCGCTAATGATTATCTCATACTTATAATTTAAGCCTTATTCTACAGCCATCGCCAGGTCTCTGGATCATTACGTCATCAACGACCCGTAGCTTCCTTTAGCTAACAACAACAAAAATTACAGCATTAAAAATGTGGCTTACAATGATAATAATACTCAGCAAACGTAAACTTGATGAGGAAAAACATGTACGAAATAAAATTGAAATATTGGGATGTTATAATTATGTGTTTCACTCGGCATTTCTAATAACAAGTAAGATGCTCTGATTTATTTACTTTTGATCTGCGCATAATGTAAGTCTAAAACATTCTGTATTTTGTTGTATTCGAATCTTGAAACAACGAATGGGTCTAAGTCCAATGAGACTCTGAGCTATAGTCGGATATGTGACAGAATTGTTTTGGTGTTTTTAATACAAGTTCATTTTTAATGTATCACATTTTCCCTCACGGTTGTTATTTGAGGGTCACGAGACACATAGTGGTTAGCGTGCTAGGCAGCGAATCAGAAGCTCCAAGGCTCGAGACGCAATGTGATAATGATCACGCGCTATAACCGTGGAAGCCTAACCCGCTAAACTGTCAAGAGTAGACATGGAGTGTTGTCCCCCCACCATCTCCCAGTCAAAGATTCTAAATTAGGATGGCTATGCCTGAACTTTGGGGTCATTGACCTGATCATCTAGCTCATCTGTTCCATAAGGTGTAATTTAAATTGAAGCTACCAAAAAGTTGTTATTTAAGTATATGTCCTTGTAAAGCAAATTAATTTTCTGGATAGGGTAGGAGAAAACTTTTAACAATTACTTAAAATTAAACTCCACACGAAATCTAAAAATTGGCATATAAGTAGTAAATGTGGATGACTTCTCAAAGAGTGTAGATATTTATAGTTTCTATTAGGCTTTAAAAGTATACTTCGTATCTTTAACATTGATACATGTTTGTTTACTGAGAAGGTAAACTGTTAGATTAAATACATTAGATAAGTTTATAAACTATTCCTTTAAACTTTTTTTGGACAAAATCTTCAGAGAGAAGTAAAAAAACACTCATAGTTAATCTGGTTTTAGTGGAAGTAAATAAACTACCTTAGTGTATTGTTTAAAGTATTATTTAAAAGTGAACAATGAATGATTTTGTTAACCATATATTAACTACCTTAGTGTATTGTTTAAGGTATTATTTAAAGGTGAACAATGAATGACATTGTTAACCATAGATAAACTAGCTTAGTGTATTGTTTAAAGTATTATTTAAAGGTTGAACATTGAATGATATTGTTAACCATAGATAAACAAGCTTAGTGTATTGTTTAAAGTATTATTTCAAGGTGAACAATGAATGATATTGTTAACCATAGATAAACTACCTTAGTTTATTGTTTAAAGATCATTCATTGTTCACCTTTAAATAATACCTTAAACAATACACTAAGGTAGTTAATATATGGTTAACAATATCATTCATTGTTCACCTTTAAATAATAATTGTTAACCATATATTAACTACCTTAGTGTATTGTTTAAGGTATTATTTAAAGGTGAACAATGAATGATATTGTTAACCATGGATAAACTAGCTTAGTGTATTGTTTAAAGGTGAACAACGAAATATATTGTTAACCATAGAATGGCAAGAATATTCATCTTTAAAACTAAAAAACAACAACACGAACTTTGATAAAATATTCATTGTTTCATACACTATTACTTGAGTTATGTTGTAGAACAGTGATTTTGAAAGTGGGGGAGGGGAAGTTTCTGTAGCTGGGGTATGTATGGCGGTATATTATATCAAAAAAGGTATCCTTGAAAAAGTGTGGGGGTCACGAATGCGATTATTCATAAATCCTTTACTCATTACCGTAGACGTTGAAAATATCTTTGAAGTTCCTTTCGTCATTATAGATTTGTTTGTTTGTAGTTTAAACACATAGCTACATAACGGGCTATCTGTACTCTGCCCACCACGGGTATCGAAACCAGGTTTCTAGCTTTGTAAGTCCGCAGACATGCCGCTGTGCCACTTGGGAGCTTCGTCCTGATAGAGCAAGCGGCTCAGAATTCTTAGTCACAAAATGAAATATGCATTTTGAAGATTTTTTTTTTTGGAAGAATAACATGTAAACTGATTTCAATATGTCTCAGATTTCTCTGTCTTGTAATAAAGATATTAATACACTCATCACAAAACACTCCTGTTTGTATGTGTGTTAAATTGTCGAGGGTTTGTTTAAGTTCCAGTGATGAATGTCTTTAAGAATCCACTGCATTCTTTGACGGATTTTGTGAAGTCAATAAAACTGTTCACTGCATGAGAACAATATAATCAAGTAGAACTTCCATAGTTGAATCAACATGTTTTCGCCTTGGGTTCTTTCAAAGCACCTACCTTAAAAATCACGTGACTGGAATACCTTCCTGAAGCATAAGCACCTGTTCTGAAGTATAATGGCTACCGGTGAGGTTCGCCAGGGGTTTTCATTTCTTACATTACTCAAGCTAGTTTTTATCTTGACAGTGGTTTCGATAATAGATCAAAATGACCAGATCTTCGTAGATAAAATAATAACGTACTTACACGGGAGTAATAAATGATCGTGCTCTTGCATTAATAGTCACTTGATGGTAATTTTATTTTGGTTTGTAGTTTGAGATCCTTGGTACTCTCCCATTCAACCCTCCGTGCACCGTCACGACTATCATAGAGGTCGCAGGAAGGCGTAAAGACAGTAACAGATCAAGTACGGCTCGGGAATAAGTTGGCAGAGTTTTGAGGTTGGTTTTTTTAAAGTAACATCGCGTTATAAACATAATAACACGTACAAACGATTTATAAAAAAAAAACGTTTTTGGCCCTAAAATTAGCGGCCTTAAACAATAGAACTTTATTAATACTTGAATACGTTAAAACAATTTAAAAGTTATTGTTATGGCTTGTTCAGCTGTTACACTTTCCGTGGCTACTATCGCAGCGGTGGTCGCCGTGGCCTGTTTAGCCATAGCTTTTGGTACGGACAACTGGTACGAAATTAGGGTTAACAGGACCTCTATTCGCAAGAAGTTGGAGGGAAATGAAGAATCTCTGAAAGAATTCGAAGAAGACAAGCTATATTTTGATCGGGATGAGGGCCTCTTCAGAACATGCTTTCCTGACAAGAAACCCCGAAACGGTGAGCCAGCGTTTTACATTTTCTTTGGAGTTAACACTTTCTCTGACTGACTTTGTTTTTTACTTCACCAAATTTATCCTTTTTTTTCTCTCTTTCAAGTGACTTAATTTCAGTTTAAACTGTGAGACTTCACAAACATACAAATCACAACAGGAAAGGCCTGTCTCGGTGTGATCTAGTTTTTGTCATTGAAAGCTCTGAACTCCAAGAACGGGTTTGGCGTCACACCAAGCTTGCCAGCTAATACTGGTTATAACTTACGATATATATATTTCAAGACTCCTGCAGGTTGTATGTAGTTTTATATGTTATGATAAGAACTTACAAACTACAAGTATTTTCCGAGAAATGACTGTCGTGTGTAGTCATGTTAGCGACTTTACTGTTTTACAGTGTAGTATCACATCCAACTATGTGGTCATGTTACAGTGTTTACTGTTTTACAGTGTAGTATCATATCCTACCATATAGTCATGTTAGCGACTTTACTGTTTTACAGTGTAGTATCATATTCTACTATGTAGTCATGTTACACTGTTTACTGTTTTACAGTGTAGTATCACATCCAACCGTGTAGTCATGTTACAGTGTTTACTGTTTTACAGTGTAGTATCATATTCTACTATGTAGTCATGTTAACGACTTTACTGTTTTACAGTGTAGTATCACATCCAACTATGTGATCATGTTACCATGTTTACTGTTTTACAGTGTAGTATCACATCCAACTATATGGTCATGTTACCATGTTTACTGTTTTACAGTGTAGTATCACATCCAACTATGTGGTCATGTTACCATGTTTACTGTTTTACAGTGTAGTATCACATCCTACCATATAGTCATGTTACAGTGTAGTATCACATCCAACTATATGGTCATGTTACCATGTTTACTGTTTTACAGTGTAGTATCACATCCTACCATATAGTCATGTTACCATGTTTACTGTTTTACAGTGTAGTATCAATAACAAAAACAAACGGACATCTAGGCAATGTAGGCTGTGATATCGTAACGTCAGTCTTGGTTGAAACAATAAAAACAGGTGAAACAAAACGTTATGGTTGCTAATGAAAGTTCCTGCCTACTTGTGGGGGAGGAAGGAGAATATGTTAATTTTAAAGAAACTACAGATAATTAGAGGAAAAGAACCAAGGAGCTCTACATGTACAACCACCAGATGTCAGTAATGTTCCTATCCAGTAGACCACTGTCTTCGAAGCGTTTACAAGACATCTTTCCTAAGTAGAATGTGTCTGGTCACCAGTCATCGAGCGTTAGATATTTTAAACTACATAGTTAGCGTGTTTAATACTAAGTATAACGTGTCTGGTCACCTGACATCGAGCGTTAGATATTTTAAACTACATATTCGAGCGTGTTTACTGCTAAGTATAACGTGTCTGTTCACCTGACATCGAGCGTTAGATATTTTAAACTACATATTCTAGCGTGTTTACTGCTAAGTATAACGTGTCTGGTCACCTGACATCGAGCGTTAGATATTTTAAACTACATATTCTAGCGTGTTTACTGTGTGGTAAACTATTGTTTCACATATTCTGGATCGATCGTGATTAGGTTAAACGAATATCAAAAAACAAACCAGACTTGTGAACAGACATATTATTTCAAAAAACTAATACAGAATCAAACAACTCCACCAAACTTTATGGAGGACTAAATATCGTTTTTAAATAAACTCGTGGACAACCAAACATTTATTTCCACAAAAAAAAAGAAGAAAAAAAGGATCAAACATCTTTAAAAAATTATAGAGCGTTCTCTTTAGAAACTATATCTATTAGGGTTACTGTGTTGACCAATTAAAGCTAGAATGACGCCTATCGGCTGAAATTTGTATTACATAAATATATAAATGTTTAACAAGCAATTAGATACGTAGATGGAGTTTCCTTAACCGGTTAAGTCCATTTTTAGCACAACGATTTTCAGCCCTAGTAACAAGTCAAACTATCCGAAATAAGCGAGATCGAGTTAGGCTTAACACGTGTGGGGGAAATTAGGCTTATCATTTGTGTCTGACTAAAGTGCTACAAATTGTATAGAACACAAACTCCTCATAAACAATGGAGCGTTTACGTTGTTTGATTTGGATCCAAGTAGGTTCAGTGGGTGAGGGGAAGGGGGAGAGAATAAAACTTGCTTTCAGTAGCCTTGGCTCGTCGTGTAGTCATTCAAAAAAAGGTTGAATTGATGGTATAGTTAAGTGTTTTTGATTGCTCACGCAAAACTTAATCGCAATGATATCTTAACAGGTTTTTATTTCACTTTATTACAATAACTTGTTGTATCAAGCGTTATATTTTGACCCGGTTTTATTCAGATCTTACTGTATTCCTGCGATATCACAAGTTAAGAATGTAGACCGATTTTTTAGATCCCATTTTGTTATTGGTCGGACATTTTTCATGGTATTCCGGGTCGTCAGCTTCAAACTATTTTCTCTCATATATAATTTGAAATTCAAATTAGGTTTTGTTTTTTACATGGGTTTTTAGATGACGATTTAAACCCTAACCTGTTTTACTAATAGATAACAAAGACATATTTAAAACATGAAGTAAGACGTTTATTATGATACCTACACCAATACTGATAACTTCAACTGACCATTTTTTTATTTAACACTAGGATCGGGCACGGCCTGTTAAGATGCTGGACTCACAATAGGCGGATCGCGAGTTAGAAATCTGTCACCAAACATGCTCGACCTTTAAGACGTAGGGGCGTGCAACGTTACAGTCAAGCCCACTTTTCTTTGATAAATAGGCCCGGCATGGCCAGGTGGTTAGGGCGCTCGACTCGCAATCTGTGGGTCGCGGGTTCGAATCCCCGTCCCACCAAACATGCTCGCCCTTTCAGCCGTGGGGGCGTTATAAGTGACGGTCAATCTCATTATTAGTTGGTAAAAGAGTAGCCCAAGAGTTGGCGGTGGTTGGTGATGACTAAGTGCCTTCCCTCTAGTCGTACACTGCTAAATTAGGGACGGCTAGCGCAGATAGCCCTCGTGTAGCTTTGCGCGAAATTCAAAAACAAACAATTATTTGGTAAAGGGAAGCCCAAGTGTTGGCGGTGGGTGTTTTCTCTTTAATCTATCACTTTAAAATTAGGGGCAGCTGACGAAGTAGTTGTGGGTGTAATTCAACATACTTTAACACTAGAAATATCTGACATATGGAAATAAGTAACAAGTACAACTGTCGCAAGAGGGCCTTCATATCAATATGAAATCCTATGTTGTTGTCAGTTTGAAAAAGAAGAGGTAGGAGAGAACACTCATCGCCTATTGACTTGAGGCTTCTTTTTTTGTGTCTGCGCGTGAGAAAATAACACGAGAAATGGGTATAATTTACTGGGCTCCTACCGATCCCGAAGATCTAAGCACCTGTAACAAGGAAATGTATCAGTGCGTGAAATGTTATAACAGATTACTGGGAGCAGAGGGGATTCTACATTATATCGTGATAACTACGGCTGTGACGTAACAAATGATGTAGGGATATATTATTAGCACAGCTGTGGAAGCGTATCAGTGTTACCAGAACAATCAGTCATGGCAGAACAATAAGTACGGCTATGACGCAACTGAACAATAATTTCTGATAGCTATGGTTACGATGTAACATTGTTACCAGGGCGTTCACTCACATTAGAATAATATTCTGTGGTGAAAATGATGATCTTTTTCTTTTTTTAAAACCTAAGAAAAATATCCTAGGATTTCACATGATTTCTACGTATTAGAATTGTCGTGAAATACGATCTATGTCTGTGTAACAGTACAGGTTGTTTTTGTACGGAAGCGTATGTTACCGTTGTTAAAAAGAACTTTCTCGTTCATTTTATGATTAAATATTTAAACATGAAGAACTTGTTAATAAGGTACTGAGCATTTGCCGTTAATATATTAATTAATAACATGAAGAATTTCGCCATTATTTCACGATATGTCTTTACTAGTTATAGCTGTGTTGCTAAGCAACCAGTACTACAGACGTGCATTACAGAAATTTTGTCAATAAAGTTAGAAAAAAAACGACCTTTATTCTACAGAAAATAAACATAAAAAACAACAACAACCTTATTTCAGCCAACGTTTCGCCATTGCCGCTTCATCAGGGCCAGTAGTACCAGAACTATACATTTACGACAGTTCCTGCTCTGTTACCTAGAGCAACAAAATGGCTTAGACCCCGTTTTTTTGGTGAAGTTATGGTCCTGTGATTTAATGCTGAACATCTGTATTGAAACAAATTTTCAACTTTTGAGCTATTTAAGTTAATATGTTGACCAATCAGAAGTGATGATCCGGGATCTGATATTCTGTGTGTGTGTGTGTGTGGGTTGGGGGGGGGAGTTCTAAATGACGTTTTCTCACAGAGGTGAAACTAGGTTATAAAGTATGAATAAGTTACTAACATATTATATATACACATATATATATATATATATACGATCAAAGGCAACAATTCTTAAACAACTATATGAAACAATAGGGAAGTTTGCTTTATGTTATATTACCGATACGGTTAGGTTAGGTTGTTGAAAAGAGGTATTTATGTTTGCAGATAGATCAAATAAACTTCGATACGATGTACAATGTATTGTTATAATATACAGTGTACGGTATGCAGTGTATTGTTGCAATGGACGCTGTACAGTTATTCTTACAATATACAATGTTATTGTTGGTTTTATTCAGCTGATAACATTTCAGGACAGTATTCATGTTAAAGCAAATAAAACATGGCTCCACCTTCAGCCCATCCTGTATATTTGATGTTAAGATTGCAAATGTAAATTAACCACGGGTGTTTCAGTTGAGAAACCTTCATTGTTTGTGTAAGATGAACTTTGCCAATTACGTTACTGTGCATGTCGGTAATGTTAGATGAATTATTATTATTTATTTGTATTGGTATCGAATAGTCCAAAAGAAGTCGACTTTCTAACGTGAAAGTGAAGATAATAGA